ATACTAACAACCGGTCAGCAGCTGCTTACATATTGTTGGCCTAGCACTCAAGTGACTGTGTTACCTGTGAATCCCTAGTTAGCGTTTTTCAAAATTTTTATGTAACCCATATTACCAAATTACCTTCTACTATAAATACCTAACCCCTAACACATTTATTTATTTATTTATTTATTCGGTGGTGGTTGCTCATTATATTACTTCTTCATAACATTATTCTAAGATCCAAAAGCACATTCAAGCATTAAAATTAATCCTTTAATTCTTGAGATCAATCGACCACAACTTCGGGAAAAAACATCAAATTCACATAATCCAAAATACCTACTTCTTATACAAATATAGGAATGTATTTTCTCAATAGCTTTTAGAGATTACTGAAAATTGAGAGGAGTTGGACCAAAAGTATAGGAAGAGTACAAGAACAAGGTATTCTTGATGATCTAAATGAGATAGACAATTCCAAAAAGATCAGAAATAGGTGTAGGTAAAACAAGTTCTAGCGGGTCTTGGAGATTACATGAATTAGATCAGCGAGTCTGGTAGGTTTTTTAGGCTGAATTGTACTATAAGTTTATTATTATATATAGTGAAAGATACTGGCTTGGTCCCAAAAATTTTGCCCAGTTGGATTTCTCCTTCAACAATTATTGTGTTCTTTATTGCTTTTATATTACAAATTTGACAATTCAACGTAAGACAAATTAACTTGATTGATTAAACATTTAGAATGATTAATATTGATAATTTTAATTCCTTAACCTATTCGCCCCCTCTAGGTGACTTTAGGTTCGAACTAGTAGCTTTTAGTATCCTACTTATATATGCGTAACTTCGTTTACTCAATTGTTAAATATGCTTGAATTTTTTTACACATGTTTAGTTGTGGCCATAGTTTTCAATGGCATTGATACTATAGAATTTTGAGGAGGTTTTTATAGCCAAACATGTGTTCTGGAACTTGGTTGAATTATGTAAATCTTGTTATGCATTTTAGCCATTTTATTATAGAGGTGAAACTACCAGTTGGGCATTTCCATATAATCGTAACTTATTGAGAATCTTCTAATTGTTCTAAAGCAACTAGAAAGAGATTGTTTAACCAGAAAGAATTCGGTTCAGATGTAGCATGGGTTTAGGACCCTTTACATGTAAGACCTATTGCTCATGCAATTTGGGATCCTCATTTTGATTAACAGGTTGGCTCCCAAGATATTCCTTGAACGATAGGAATCTGGGAGAAAAAAGGTCAATAACGATTAATGAGACCTTGTCGCTCAAATGTCATGTTCCCAAGATTTTCTTCGATAGGTATGATCCCATCCTTCCAAAAGAAGAGACCATGGGTCATGAACTTCTTTTACCGAAGAAGAAGCAATGACGGTATGTGGAGAATAAGTATCGGCTAACTCTATGCATGAAAAAGGGGAAAGCCCGACTCAACTTAAGGCAAGGGCTCATTGCATACAGGGCATAAAGCATGGAATTCTGCATTGAATTTGTAGGGAAAACCCCTATCTCCTCTTTGCCAACTGGAATCTTTTAGCAACTCTCTAATTCCACTTGAGTCTCAGCCCATTTCCACTACAGGAGCGAGTGAGATTGCTTGTTTCGTGCTTAAGACGAATAGCTTAATGCTAAGTGTACATTGTGGGGTTGACGTCATTGTGCAAATCCCATTGGAGTTCAAAAAGTTGTGGATAGAAAAAGTTTTTAGTGTTTGTCATTTTTTGTCGCTTTTTCCATTATTTGTTACTTTTTTTGAATGACAAACATCAATTTTTAATTTGCATGTCACTTTTTAAATTCGTATGTAAAAAAGTGACACTCAACTTTACAAAGTAATTTTTACTTTCAAAATATTTTTAATATGATTTTTCAAAACACATCTAATTTTAGGGTATTTTTGTAAGTTGTCCTCCAATGTTTCCCAAGACTTGGTACAGATACACGTACAAAATTACGTTGTTGTAGGGAAGGGTAGCGCCAATGGTGACATTTTTAAAGAAATTACGTGCACCAGGACAAGATTTAGGAGCATGATTTTTCGCTTGTAGAATAGATTCTTGAAGAAGTTATTTTATTTTATTTCTTTGAAAACTAACTTCTATACGGTTTCCTATTTAGAAATAGCTTTTACAAAAAGTCATACTGGACCAATTTTCTATAAAAGCTCTTCTAACTAGAAAAAGTACTTTCATAAAATTAGTAAAATAGGTCAAAAAAAAAAATTTAGTCTTGAAAGCTCCTTTTAACTTCTCAAAAGTTATACCAAACGGACTCTCTATTGATCAGTTTTGACATTATTCTAGCTATATAATTAAATTTCAATATTATTTTGAAATTATTTTGCTACTTCTCTCAATTAAGTCAACCACTAATATCATATATATGAATTTAAATGAAAATTCCCTCAATTTTTTCATCCGTATTTTATAATGTTATTGAGTATTTATCTTTCGGTCTAGATTTGTTCGCAACAATGTAATTAGAGGTTTTATTAAAAAGTTGCTGATTGTTTGGTTGTAAATCCAAAAGACGTTTTTAATCAGTCCGGACTTGGGACCAATGTGATGTGTTAATAGTTCACTAAATTACAAGATAATAAACTACTCAATTAGAAAGCAATTGTAAAATATGACTCCATCCTCTTGAAATTGATGTCACATTGGACCTCATAGACTCATCTCAAACTTTTCTTCGTGCATTAAGAAGCTCTAACATAGTGTTCTCGTATTGTAAGAGAAAATTATGCGATTGAATGTCGCTCGGAGTGCATCTTTGAGCCAAACAAGCACCAGTATAAAATTATCGTCTTCAATTTTTTTTTTGCTTTTCTTTTTTGACATTTTGCATGATGTTTCTCAATAATTTGCTCGTCACTCAACAACTTCGAAGTTGTCTCATTTTCTCCCGTGTAGTTCAAAAGTTACTCAACATATGTTGGATCACAATACTTCAACTATTTGATTAGAAAATGAAATTGTTGAACGCCTCCTCCTAGTCTTCATCTGAATTCTTTGAAGCCATGTTATCTGTATAAGCAGTATGCCATAAATTCAATCGATTTTGAATGTAAACACTTTTAATATGTTTAATGCATTTTATTTATGACAAATCTATTATTCAATTGATTGAATTATTATTCATATAAATTATATTAATAGAGTTCGTAGATTCAAGTCCAAGTAATTTGTTAATTATAAGGAATCGTGATAGTAAAAAAAAAATTACATATGATAGAATCTTAAATTATTCATGGTCTTAATAACGAAATGCGAATATCATTAGTATGGATAGACTATCATGTGTGACATTTCGCACTTCTAAAGTCAGTAATTGATCTCACAAACTAAAATGTGATAACTTTTAAATGAATACATTGTTAACATTTAAATGAACACATGAATTAGAGATCAGCTGAAAATATTTTACATGGATAACTATCTTAGTATCAATAGTTAATCTCTATTGTTCGGTAGTGAAATTAGTCTTTTGGTTTGAGGTCATCATAGTGTCTTATATGAGAATAATCAAGCTTGGTGGTGTTGAATGTTGCTCTACCAAGAGTCACTAATATGATGAAGGTTGTGAATGATCAATAGATAATTCGTCACTCTTAGATAACACAATATTATGATTTTTCATTTAGTTAAGTTAATAACAAAATCCTTGACCAAAATGTACTCATAAGTTGAAAGAATTTTTGACTTACATTGACTTAAGATTGGAATGAAAAATATGATCGATAATCGAAATTGACACACATTCATATGTTGTAAATGATCAAATCATATTAATGAAAGGATTATAATTTCATAATAAATGGACAAATTTGATTTGTTATGTCATGTAACATTTTTTCATCACATGTATTGCTTTAACGCATTGCTAGTTGTCAACCTGGAACAATGAATGTGAATTGCCGATGGATTAAACAGGGGTATTTTAATTTATCGATTCTGATTAGATCTAAATAATAATTCATGTCGTTATACATCGTGATCGAAAACCTAATGAGTCATACACAAAAGTGAAACTAGACAAAATGATATTTACTAATTAATTAATTGACAAGTGTTGAACAATTAATTAATTAGGTTATTTATTAATGGATCAAGTTTATTGTGAGGTTGTGTTGTTGGTGGTGGCAATGTGACGATGAGGTGGTGTCAGCCTTTTGTGTTCTATGGGTTTCAGATTGTGAGATGGTGTTGGTTGTGGTGATGGCCGCGACGATGCCCATTTTTAAATTTCTTTTTCTGTTTTTGTTTGTTATAGATTGTAAGGTGGTGTTGGCGCTGAGGTGCTACCAAAAAATAATTGATTTCGTAATAAAAAAAAATTAATTGATTTCGTAATAAAAAAAAATATTGTTAAAAAATTTAGATTTTGTTGCAAAAGTAATTTAGTGACACAAGATGTTTGTTGTGGGTATTGTCGCGCTATATGAGTTACGAAATGTATTCCGCGACAACTTTTGCTCATTCATCGCATTAATAAATTCGCAACCAATTTGTTTGACGCTAAATGTACGAAATAGCAACAAGATATTTGTCCCCTAAATGTCGTCGCAACACATATTTGTCGCGAAAAATTAAAAGGGTGACAAGTCCATTTGTCACAACGATTATTGCAATAGAATTTTCGCTAGAAAAAAATATTTGTTGCTAATATTATTTTAAAAGCATAACTTTTGTTGCCTATTCTATTTTGCAACACCACATGCTTGTGGTGATATATCTTTAATAATAAGTCATGTTTGTCGCGAAATATGGTTTAAAATGCATTTGATATGTTGCATAATATATTTTAATATATCAATGACATAAAATTTTTGCCTAATTTATCTTATCTTTATTTATGTATGCCGTAGATTATATTATAAATATATAATTTTCAATTTCTTCCATTGCAATAGAATTGTAACCACGGTATAGCTCATGACATTATAAAAAGAATACTTCAATGTACAATTATTAAAATGTAAATTCAGAATATATATAAAAAAAAATTCATATTATTGTCGACCAAATAGATTAAGGCCAAAGTATTATTTACAAACTCAGTTAACTCCGAAATCAATACAAATACAAATAAATTATATACAAGTAATTTCATATTTGAACTACTTAGTGTGGTCCACCATACCTAAAATGAAGAAAATAAAACTAGAAAGACCAAAGAAATAACAAAAATTCATGGAACAAGCAAATAACCTTCTTGACTCCAATATATACTTTCAGCTCACCCCCAATCTGTTATTCGGTTAAATGAGGATTCCTATAAGGAAAAATTCCACAACCTTAGTTGAAGACAAACATATAAAAAGTAGTGAAATATTAGCTACAGGATAAATATGTCAAATATCTCATATTAAAAAGATAGATGATACAAAACATCCTGGTTCACTTCCCTACAAGTTCTGTGTTATAACTCTACAAGCACACAAGCTCTATTGCATATGTAGGACACACATTAACATGTACAACAGCAATGAGTATTGGAAACCATCAAAAGCACCTACCAAGAAAATCATGCTCTGAAAGATAAAACAGTAACTAGATAGTCCACTATTCCCGCTTTTGAAATTAGCTCTGATATAGTGGAGTCACTAAGAAAATGACAAAGTTTTGCATTTTTGAAAATTTGCATTTTAATAAAACAATGCTTTAAAAAGAATATACAGCATAATAAAGAATCCAGTCTAGCCCCAAATGCTATGAACAGGAATTCTGTAGCTATACATGCAAATTATGAGATGGTTCCTTTGGAAAAAAATTAGAAAAGTCAAATATCACCAACCTTCCTGGTAAGTTCTCTAAAATGAACAGTCACTGATCGAGGAATGTGACTTTTCAAAATATGTTCAGTTAGCTCTTGAACTTTGGCCTGAAATCAATGTTAAATTCATGTAAACAAACTAAATCACTGCAGAAGAATAACAGACGACTTACAGAAAGAATTCAAACCCTTCTACAATCTACTTGGTACGATATGAGAAATCTGTTCACTATTCTTGCAATCTTCACGGTGAACAAAAGCCTAAGACTGTCAATTAAGATTTTTCTAAGGAAGAAGGGAATAAGAATTGTATAAATAGTAAGGAAGTGGGCATACCTTAAAGACGACAGGACCCAAAATCTGCCAAATTAGGGTTACAAAAGGCTCAAATCAGAGGAAGATGAAAATTTTTAGTGGAGAGAGGCAACTATGAAAAGAGGCGTGAGGATGGAGACCCAACCGTGATAATAACTTCATCTTCTCTAAATGGCGTGAGGATGAGAAGAGGGATTGGAGAGTAGGAAAATTTTGGGGTACTTTTTAGAATGGCCAGGTCAAAATATCAAATTTTGACTTTCGCCAATTTTATTTTTTTTTCATTCATCGAAAGGATCTTTTGAAGAGTAAATGTCATTTTCACCCTTAATATAAGTTGTAATTACAAAAACATATTATTTGCCCACAAGACAATAATACTCTCTTTAAAAAATTAATAAATCTAAACAATCTCACTTAAATCTCAAAACGAAATCACTTTCCTTATCAGATTTTTCAACACAGTTAAAAAGAAATTTTCTCTTCCATCTGTTTGAACATTGAAATTTCAAAAAATTATCAAAGACTCAACAAAAAAAATTACTCACAGTTGGCACTTGAAATTGGTAAGTATAAATACGTATGTTTAATTTCATTTTAGTTAAATTTGTACGTTGTTTGAATATTTAAATTTTATTTCAACATATGATTTTAGAAAAATGAAATATTACAATCTTAAATGGATGTATAATTTTTTTAGCAAAAATGAGGAAAAAAATTCATATGTTCAAATGCAAAATGTAGAAGACAGTTGGCCAAATGTGTCCGGACCGGATGTTTAACAGCTGGCTGTTAATAGCCGGCCTTCCTAATGCAGATATGGGATCAGCTGCTATCCCGATTTGTTACTTTGATGAATTTAAAAATAATGACAATGATCAATGGGTGTGGAAATGGACGAGTGAAAGACATGGTTGTACTGCAATTGTAATAACATACAGTATATTATATGCAGAAATGTACAATGAGATACAAAACTTGCTGAAAGTCGATCCCTCTAAGTACGCCATGAAATTGGGATTTCTAATGAGCGAGAATACATCCATTTCAATTCCACCTATAACGGTTGCTTCCGAAGCCGAAAAGAAGGTTCTAATTGAAATGAACCAGAAACGTGTGATTCCTATTTTCGTAACTTTGATGAAGAAGAATGTCCCCGAGAGTGAACAGGAAGATTTCGATGGAGGGGATCATAATGTGAATGAGTTTTGGGACACGGAGGAAATAGTGCGTGATGATGTTGTAGCTGTTCCAGAGGCAGTTGCTCCTCACCATGATCTCACTGTTACACACAGAATTTGCTCGGTAGTTCAAGACAAGGAAAGAGATAATGACTTTACAAATGAGAATTTGATTGCTTTATCCCGTTTGAGACATGCGCCGAGTGGGAGCTCACATGCTGGACCGAGTGCACGGTCCTCTAATTGTTCGCGTATAGTCCCCGATGATGAAGATTTGTATGTCGAGCAACTGTTTGACACGAAGAAAGATTTGTGGGAAGCTGTTCACCGGATTGCTTTGAAACACAATTTTGAGTTTAAAGTGAAGAAATTAAACAAGTCGACATACACAATTGTCTGCGTTGACTACAGTTGTCTTTGGCGCTTGTGAGCAACGAAAATGGACACGAATGAGTTCTTTGTGGTTCGTAAGTATGCACGGGAACATACTTACGAAGTGGGTATTCGTCGAAATGATCACAGGCAAGTCTGATCATGGTTCATTGGTCGAGAAGTAATGCACAAGTTTCAGGACTCACGAACAATCTACAGACCTTCCGACATTATTAATGACGTTCGTCGAGAGTGCGGGGTGGTCATGAGCTATCAGAAGGCTTGGAAGGCCAAAGAATGCATGTTAGAGGACTTGATGGGTTCAACCGATGAGAATTATGCTAAATTGGCCAGGTATTTCTTTGTTTAGATGTTTATTTAATAGTTATCTAATTAATTCAATCATTAATTTCAATTATTTATCAATTCTTTATCTGATGTGTACTTAATTATTTAATTCAATTGTTAATTTTTCAATTATTTAATATTGTTTATTTAATTATTTAAATTATGATTATTGTTTATTTAATTGGTCAGGTTTTGCTATAACATAGGAAGAATTAATATTGAATCTGCATTTTTTATTGAGAAGATGACGAGAATCGCTTCAAGTAATACTTTATGGCCCTTGGACAATGCGTTCGAGGATTTCGAAACTCAATGCGACCCTTAATTCTAGTCGACGGTACAACCCTCAAGGCGAGATACGGGGACAAGTTGATTATTGCAACATGTCAAGATACTAACATTCAAATTTACTCTCTTGCATTTGGCATAGTTGATAGAGAAAATAATTTGGCAATGCGTTGATTTTTCACGAAGTTGAGGGAAGTAATTGGGGATGTCGAGAACATTGCATTCGTAACCGACCAAGGACAGTCAATAATTAACGGTATCGCCGAAGTATTCCCCAAGGCACATCATGGTTATTGTATGTACCATATAAAAGGAAATCTGAAGATCAAGTATCGAGGCAAGGGCATCGTTACGTTGTTTAGGAGAGCTGCAGAGGCTTACAGTTTTCAAGAATTTGAAAAGTTTATGGTTGAAATTGAAAGTAAATCATATGATGCATGTGAGTATCTAACAGAGATGGGGATCGAACATTAGGTACGATCACATTTTCCAGGATGTCGATACAATATGATGACGTCGAACAATGTGGAGTCGCTCAATGCTTTATTTAAGAAGGATCGAGAGTTACCAATTCTCGCAGTGCTTGAGAACATTCGTGACAAACTGCAACAGTGGTTTCATGATCGTCATGAGGAATCACAGAGTTGCACAAGTATGCTAACCCCGGCTCAGGAAGATAAACTCTTCAAGATTTTAGAGATGGCAAGGAAGGTATATGTAGAACCACTAAATCAGTTTCGCTTCTCCGCGAGATGTGCACGTAATTTCGGATACATCATCGACTTGAATGATAGCACCTGCACGTGTAGACAGTTTCAGTTAGAGGGTTTTTCATGTACACATGCAGTGGCGGTGGCTATTTATAGAGGAATTTCACCACACCTTATGCAGTGCTTATAATACGATTGGTTCTTAGATAGTAGCATATGCCAAAACCATATTTTCTGTACCGAATGAAGTCAAGTGGGAAGTTCCTGATCACATTCTCTCATTGAATAACTTATTGCCACCAGCAGTCGACCCACGTACTCCTGAACATACACGTACGTCTAGAATACCATCGACCGGAGAATTTTCCAGACCTCGTAAGTGCGGCAGGTGCAGTGCAACAGGACATACTAGAAGATTTTGTACAAGTCAGATCTCTCTGCATGACACGTAACAGATGTATAATTGAAGTTTATGTAACATTATTTATAACATTGATATTAATTATTCACGCATATTCTTAATGTTAATTATTTATGTTAATTATTAGATTTAATTTTTTATTTTAATATTTCATTAATTAGTTGCGTAATATTTGAAGTTAATCCTTTTTTAAAACTCACTGTGTTCTTTACAATATACCCAAACATTATAAATACGTCATGAAACATTTAAATAAAACATAAACTAAAAAATAAATATTAAATTTTAAAAAATAATATATGTTTTACAATTATTTTATAATTACAAATGAATGAATGAATGAATAAATATACAATATTTAAACGTTACAATATATACAATTATTTTAAAGAAACACGGCTCAATATCTACGGATCATCATTAAATTCAAATAAATCATAAGCTAATTTATTTCTCCAATTTTGTATCCACGCCTGGTTGATTGCGTCAACCTTCTGTGCTACACTAAAAAATTCTATGTACTTGATAGCGAATATGCCACAATCACCCATATAATTACAAAATATTGTATTAGAACATCACCGTCTAATTAGAACGTAAGTTGTAAATTACAAAAATAAAATAATAAACACTTACGATATTTGCTGTCTCGCCCTCGTCATGTCCCGCATGGTAGCTAGTCTGTCCTGCACAGTAATGTTCGCTCGTCTAGCCAGCATGGGGACGATCACAGACACCGACTCCAGATTTTGCTCGAGCTAACCTTGTGTTAGGTATGAATGATCGGGGTCATACAAATACATAGTCGAGTCGGCAAATACAATCTCCACTGCAATGTAGTGATGATTGACACACACCGGAATGTACAGATGCGTACAACCCTCCCATGGCTTTTCCCCGACACTCGGCCACATCCCTACAACCCACTCCATCATGTATGTAGGCACCGTGTCCTCGCTACCCATAGCTTGCAACGTCTAGTACTCAATATCAATGGCACGTACGAACTCATTGTTCAATATGAGTCAACCAGGAATGTTGAACGATCTTGAATGTCGTTCAGCTCGATCTCGTAGCAAATCCATGGCGAAGTCAATGTGCTGCACCAGGAAGCACCAATTAAAAAATGAGTTATTTAATTTCATAAATGCAAAACGCAAAAATATGTATACGTAATAAATAACAATATTACTACTTCACTTACATCATCGGCAAGCCAAGCCCCCAAAGTTGTGATGTCGTGAAACCACTTGTAAGCGTCTGAGATCGTTTTATGAGCAATCCTATGACTGACTCTGAAAAATAAGAAAAGAAATTGTTAAGTAAAAATATAGTATGTCAGCATCTGCGTAATGTATTAATCCTTAACGAATAATACAATACTTACCTCCTCCTTTTCGCCTCCGCGGTAAATGGAGAAACGAGTACTGTGATGGTGCCCTCGGCCTCTTGTCGACCATCAGCTCCGGCACATCAACAGTACGCGAAACCTTCCCGATATCCAACACTCCCTCACCTACCATTGGGACCACCTCTTTCGTCCCCTCCGACACAAAAATTACGTCCGGCGAGTCTAGCGTCTGATATGGTACCCTCTCTCCCTCGGATATCTCCTCCTCCTCCGGCACCTTGGGTACCCCCTCCTCCTTCAAAACCCTGACGACCTCCGCCTCGGGTACCCCCCTCCTCCGACACCCTCTCGACCTCCGCCTCGGGTACCCCTTCCTTCTCTGACACCCTGAAGACCTCCTCCTCCGGGGACACCCTCACGACCTCCTCCTCTGGCACCCGCCCGACCCCCTCCTCCTCCGACACCCTACCTTCGCCTCCAGCACCCTCTCCTCTTCCGACACCCTCACGACCTCCTCCTTCGGCACCCTCCTTCGACACCGTAACGACCTCCGCCTCCGACACCCTCCCGACCGTCGCCTCGGGTACCCCCTCCTCCTCCGACACCTTCCCAACCGGTACCCTCTCGACCTCCTCCTCCGTCTCCATCGGGGCTTGATCCTCCATCTCCATCTCCATATCTATCGGGTCATCGAGATATGAAGCTAATGCATCATCCGATGCCCACAACGAATCAACATACCCCGTCTGACCTCCTTGACCCTGATAACCACCGACCCTTCCTCACACCCTCCGTCCTAATAGCCGTCTGTCCCTCCGTCCCGATAGCCACCTGTCCCTTCATCACCCCCTCCGTCCTGATATCCGTCTGTCCCTCCGCCACCCCTTCCATTTCGATACTCGCCAGTCCCATGCAGGCCTACTATGTCGCCCCGTATTGCTACGACCTCAGCATAAAGCTCTCCTAAACTGACATGTACCATCCCGACATCACATCGTAAGTCAGCTATTTCGACTCGTAAGCCAGCTACGTCGCCTCTAATCTCCATCATAAGTCGGAACATATCATCGATGGAAGCACTCTGACTACGTACAGCTGATCCACGTAGAAGGTGTCCGGACGCAGGAGACGGTGATCTCATGCAGGAAGGTGACACTCTCGATGGAGGTGATCATATGTAGGGAGGGGACACTCTCGACGGATGCTACATCCTCGGGGAATGTGACACCCTCGACGGAGGTGATAGTCGACGGCGCTCCTAAAAAAAGAAACATTACAAATCAATAGCTTAATTAAAAAACTATAATGAGAATCAACATATTATATTCAATTAACATACCATGTCCCGATCGACGATGGACTCAGGCCTCTCTCGAGCAGCACGATCTGTCAACAACTCACGGATATAAGTCTGATCTTCCTCCTCGATCGATGGTGTCAGCTCAGTGAGAACTTCAAGCTGACATATTGACATTTCATCGAATTATTGACCACGTATCCAGCTTCAAAAATGACATACAATAGAAAGCGCAAATATATAATACGTACCTCAAGATCGTCTAGGATAACTGATAACTGTTTTGTAAAGGGCTTGTCTTGTGCTCGCCAGCTGTGCATCCGAGGGATGCATGTATCCCCTCTCCTTGCATACCAACCAGCCAGGATGGGAACAATCTCGTAGACCCATATCTGCAACAATTACGATTATTACATATATAATTTAATTAAAAAATGGATAACGCATTTGTTAAACATTTACTTGCAAAGCTAACGGTAGGCCATATATATCGTACTTACGCTCTGACCTATCTCTCCTAGGCATTGAATGCCCCTCCTGAAGACGTGTAAAATATCGAAAAAGCATCTCTCCCCTCACAGATAGTTATTGAACGTATTGATGTCATCAACACTTTGCAAATGAAAAACGTCAATCGACGTCTTCCTGTGATGACACCTCAGTACGCTCTCTAGTATAAACACTATACCCAACTTCAACTTATCGGACTCTGGTCACATCCCCTGAATGCATTTCCTAACTGCGCCAGTGTCACTGTCGTGTGCCCATTAAAATAATCATTCAGCAGCCTCTTGTCTGTCGAAATACTGGCCCTCGCTGCCTCTTCGCCCGTACATCTCAATCCAGTGATGAGGGCAAACTCGAATATAAAAAATGTAGCAACCTTACCCCCAAGATCAAAGTGGAGGGAATCTCCGTCAACTAGCTTAAGTAGCCGACACAGTAATGAATCGATCAACTGTCCAGAGAACTGTATAGATCGCAGTGAATACATGGGCTATAGGCAGGATCGAAGTAATATCTCTGCGTGCTCCTCGTCCAGTGAATCTAAAACTGCTATGAAGCTGACAAAGTTACAATTCGACCTAACTTTGCTAGGAACCTGTCTCAAGGCTGCATCCAAATGGTAATCCATCCTACAAAATTTCAAATGTTAGAACATTTGAAATATAATGTCATAAAATTCAACTAACCGAACTGTAAGTAATATAAGCACGAAATAACAGATAATAAAGAAAATGAATTAAAAATTACACAATAACTTATAAAAAAGGGAAAAACTAATTTTCATAAAATTATTTATTTCATAGTTTATTTTAATCCATGTTAAAAATTTATTTCAATTCTTTATTTAATTAAATTTGATTATTTATATTTAATTACATATTTAAATAATTTATTTTGAAAATTTATATTTCTTACTTATTTAAATTGTTTATTTTTATTTAAATGTTCATTATTTATTTCAATTGTTTATCTAAATTATTTATTTCGATTGTTTATTTGTTTATTTAACATTTATTTTAATTGTTTATTGAATGCTTAATTTTAATTATTTATTATAATTGTATATTTAATTATTTTTTTAAATTATTTATTGAACATTTAAACGTAAATATGTAATTATTTGTTATATTTTTCTTTAGTTGTTTATTCAATATTTATTTTAATTATTAAGCGAATATGTAATTATTTATTTTAAATGTTAAATATTTATTTCAATTGTTTATCTACATTTTAATTACTTACTTTGATTATTTTTATCCAATTTTTCATTTAATTGTTTCAGTTGTTCATTTAAATTATTTGATTTAATTACTTATATTGATCGATTATTTACATTATTTATTGAACAAGAGCAAACGCAAATATTTCATCATTTATTTCAAATGTTAAAAATTTATTTCAATTAAACATTAATTAATATTTTGATTATTAACATTTATTCATTTATCATTTAAATAATCATTTAATTATTATTTAAATGTTCATTATTTATTTTTGTGCATTTCAATTAATTATTTATTCCAATTGTTTTCCATTTATTTGTTTCAATTGTTCATTTAAATTATTTGATTTAATTACTTATATGAATAGATTATTTAAATTATTTATTGAACAAACAAAAGTAAATATTTAATTATTCATTTCAAATGTTAGAAATTTATTTCAATTAAACTTTAATTAATATTTTCAATACTAACATTTATTCCTTTATCATTTAAATAATAATGTAATTATTATTTAAATGTTCATTATTTATTTTTGAGCATTTCAATTAATTATTTATTCCAATTGGTTTTCATCATTTGTTTCAATTGTTCATTTAAATTATTTGATTTAATTACTTATATGGAAAGATTATTTAAATTATTTATTGAACAAGCAAACGTAATTATTTAATTCAAATGTTAGAAATTTGTATCAATTAAATTTTAATTGCGTATTTTGATTAATAACATTTATTTATTTATCATTTAAATAATCATTTAATTATTATTTAAATGTTCATTATTCATTTTTGTGAGAAATTAATTATTTATTCCAATGATTTTTCATTTCAATTGTTCATTTAAATTATTTGATTTAATTATTTGATTATTTAAATTATTTATTAAAAAAGTAAACGTAAATATTTAATTATTTATTTCAAATGTTAGAAATCTCTTTCAATTAATCTGTAAATAAATTTTAATTGCGTATTTTGATTATTAACATTTATTCATTATTTACATTTTTCTTTTATCATTTAAATAATATTTAAATAATTATTTAAATAATAATTTAACAACATTTCAATTATTTTAATTCTCATGAAAAAAAATTAAAATAAAAAATTAATGCTGCAGACGGCCCAAACAGACAGTCTGTTAACAGACGATCGTTAATAGACGGCACAGGATGTCTGTTAACAGACGGCACATCCCGTCTTCCTTTTGCTGCCGTCTGCAAGAGACAGCAGCCCGGAGATCGCCATTTCCGACAATCTTCAGCAACCAAACCTTAAAAAAAAAAACTTAGTTTTTAGTAATTTTACATATTCTACAAAGACTTCTACCACTATTTCCAACAAAATAAACCTTTAACATAGATTAATGGGGGAAAAATTAAGCAAAACTTATTTTCTTCGCTTCTAATGGTTGCCGGTCGGTCTCCTCCCAAGAAAAACTCGTCGATTTCCTTGTTTTTTCTTCCCCTTCTTTCTCCAGACGTCGGTTTGAGAGTGAAATGTCCAGGGCAATTTTGGATTTTCAATATTTTTAAGGTTTTTACAAATTTTTTATTTTTTATTTTTAAACAGTAGTCAACGGCCATTTTGAAAAATTGTATGTTTTTTGTGGCTATCTGTCACCATTTCCTCGAAAAAATTTAGGGTATTATAATGGGCATTTTAATGGTGACGGGCTAATGGGTTTTGCCAATATTTAAGGGATGTTGCAAAAAGTTAAGGTTGGTTTTATTTGTGTTTCAATTTTGAGTCATTTTCAATATTTTATTTTGAGGGTTGAATTTAAAATTTCTGAAAATGCATTTGACTTGTCATTTTCAAAAACTATTTCTCAAAATAAAAGTCAAAAAACGCATTTTATTTAAAATTATGAAATTATTTTATGATATTTTTGATTATATAGTAAAATATAATAAAAACAACGGATGAAGAACGTCGCAAAAACTTAACAATAACTTGCATTTGAGGCCTTGAGCAACGTACATTACACGTTGTGGTTTCATTCTACTCTACGACAACATCAAAGTTTGTGACATACATGTGAACATTGTTAAAGACCTATGGCAACATTTTTTGTCTGTTGGAAAAAATAAATTTTCTTGCAGCGATTTTTCCTCAATATATAGAATTTTTAGCAACCAATGTTTCTTGTCGCAAAAAGTATACTCGATTGCATAACAAATACTTTGTTGCAAAAAATAAAATGTTGTCGCCATAAGTTTCCCACCAAAAAATATTTTGGCTCCTTGCTTCCCTTATGTTTTTGGCAACAATCTTAATTATTTGTCGCAACTTTTCACATTTCACAACAATTTTTTATGCCGCATTATATTTTTTTATACTTAATTTTTTCACCACAATCTTTGCGACAAACCATAAAAATGTGTCGCGCTAAATCACTTATTGTAACAACTTTTTGTATGTCGCGAAAAAACTTGTCGCAAAATCAGAATTTTGTTGTAGGTGTTGACGGTAGTGTGGTGATTTTGGGTGGGATGGCCTTGGGTGAGGTTTGTGACCAATTATTTGGTTGATTTGTGATCATTAAATAATATGTGACAAATTATTTGAGATTGTGATCAACAAATTGGATATTTTGTGACTAATGTAATCGATAACTTGGGACCAATAAATATTTCGTGACCTAAAAATATGAATCGTGACTTATAAAATTTGTGATTTGTGAATGATAAATAAACTATGGCCTAAAATTTTTTTTGACTTGTAACCAATGAATAAATTATTACATATATTTTTTTTCATTTGTGACCGTAAAATAATTTGTAATCAATAAAAATTTTATTCGTGATCAAGAAATAATTTGTGACCAAATAGTATGGAATTGTGACTTTAATATATTTAATTAATAAAACGTATTTTTAATTCATTATTTCATCAATATAATTTAATTAATACTTTGATTTTTGAAAATTTAAACCTTGTTTCTTATTTTGGAAATGGGCAATACCTAATCTCTTAAATATGAAATTTTCTCTTAGATTAATTAGATATTGAACCTGGTTGAGTTTAATTGATGGGTCAAGCTCGGTTGAATTTCGATTATAAGTTGTTAGGGTTAAAAAACATACAACATAAAGTTCATTATCTTGTTAGCACAAGAAAAGATAAACCATAATTCTTTTATTCTTGTTCCTTGTATCGATTTCTATTAGAGATTAGACAATTCGACAGTTGTGAATTGCAAATCAGAATTGTTCTCCATAGAATTAATTAAATGTATAATTCTTAGCACAATTTTTTTTTCTAAATACAAAACAGATCTTTGGTGGGAATTGAAATATTATTTAAATTTCGCTGTAAGCGTTAACCAAATACTATAGAATTATGACATTAATATATTTAAATAATAAAAACATATTTTAATTAATTATTTCATAAACATAATTTAATTAATATTTGATTTTTAAAATTTTAAACCTTATTTCTTAATTTTGAAACGCGCAATAATTAATCTCTTAAATATGAGAATTTCGTTTAGATTAATTAAATATTGGATCAGGTTGAGTTTAAGTAATGGGTCAAGTTCGTGTGAACTTCTGTTATAAGTTGTTAGGTTAAAAAACATACAATTCATTATCTTTTTAGCACAAGAAAAGTAAAAAACATAATTCTTTCATTCTTGATCCTTGAGTGGGTTTTTATTAGAGGCTGAACAATTCGACAATTGTAGATTGCAGATCAAAATTATTCTCCACAAAATTAACTGAGGGTCTGTTTGATTGTAAGGATGGAAAAAAATGAATTCCAAGGAATTGAATTGCCTAGAAGCTAGAAAATGTTGAAATTTTTTATCTTTTTGTGTCTGTTTGACTTTTTTTTTTTTTTTTTTTTTTTTTTTTTTTTTTTTTTTACTGAAAATTGCTAATTAAAGGGACAAAAGTTGTTAAAATTGAAAATAAATTTTTTTCCAATTGCCTAAAAAAAAATTGGTTGGAAAACCAATTCCCACCAAAATGGTGAGATTTTATTTTTCACAAAACCATGGAAGTGGCACACGTGAGGAGGAAAGTTGGAAAACAAATTCTCTGAAAATTTCTTGCAATCAAGCACACAAAAATGGTGAAAATTTTCCATGAAAAATGAACCAATCAAACAAGCCCTAAATATATAATTCTTATCACAATTTTTTCTAAATACAAAGCAGATCTTAGATGAAAATTGAAATATTATTTAAATTCCGTTGTGAATGACAATTAAATTTCCAACAATCTGTAGATCTAAATTACAATATCTATAATGTTGCATTGATCAACTTCAGTAGAATTTCAAATTCTATTTCTCTTTACTCGCTAATAGAAACATCTAATCTACGTGGAATTATAAAACGAAGAATTTATTTAAATGCCACCCCATTTTTGTTCATTTGATACGTATATTTCAGGTTTCTTTCTATGTAATCAATCAAATGTCTCTTCCGACAACCAGGCCCAGGAAAATGGGCTTACTGATGGATAATGAAGACACCATCCGTTACAAACTTGATCTACTGCGAGAAGCCCATTGGATTCTCTTTCTTTTCTATTGATCTTTTAAATATGGGAAAAAATCATAAACCAGGCTTTAAGTGTGACTACTTCAAATATCAGGCCCAAAGTTTCAAATCAGGTTTCTGTTAATTAATTAAGAATATTTTATTAATCAAGTATATTAAGATCATATATATACGATTCATGTTCACAGATACGTACTTAAAGGTCACAATATCACATATTATAAAATTAATTGGTCACGGATTTTTTCATCGGTCTCAGATCGAAAATATTATAAGTTACAATTTTTTTTTGTTGGTCACGGATTTTCAAATTAGTTGGTCACATATTATTTTTAAGTCACAAGTTATCGAATTTTTAGGTCACAGTTTATTTGTCCATCACAGATTTGATCACGAATTATTTTTAAATCACAAGTTATAAAATTTTTTGGTCATAGATAACTAAATAATTGGTCATAAACCACCGTCACTCGCCACCAACATCTCCCTCACACCATCACCAGCATCACAACATCAACATCATACCACCATCACCACCGCACCACCACCAGCACAACCACTACCCAACACCGTACCACCACCACCACAGCATCAACACTGCCTGATACGAATCCCATAGCAATGGAAACTACGAAACCCATAACGAGATTGATGCGGAACCCAAGAACGCCAATACTAATCCGGTTTTAGATCTTGAACCCCAAGAATTGAACCAAGAAACCCTAGATTAGCGAAGAACCTAAAACCCCTTGATTACAATTAAAAGAACCCACAATCTGATTGATAGAACGCCACAAGAAGTTGAATCTTGATAAGTTCCAAGATTGTTCAAGAACAACAATAAATTGAAAGAAGAAATTTCTCTCTCTATAATATTAATTCCAAAGTCAAAAGTTCAAAGGTATTACAATGTAAAGTAATCTCCTATTTATACTAATGAATAAAAAAGTCCAAAACCATCAAATTATGATAATAATTTGATTTCATAAGAATTCTATCGAAACTAGGAAATTCGGCCAAAAATAGAAAATTCGTCAATTTTTTTGGCTTTTGCGGCCACATGTTTAAAGCCATGCGGTCGCATGGTTCAACAGAAATTGCACTTTTGATTTTCAGTATGCATGTGTGCGGCCGCATGTGGTTTTGCCTATGCGTCCGCATGGTGTTGTATTTAGCCTCCACTTTCGTCGCTTGATAACAAATTGATCCAAGTTGATTCGGCCTTCGACCCGAACATGAAAGTTGCTCCATTTTGAATCATGAACATGGTTCCATCAATGGTTTCTTGAACCAGCAATTCCATCGCTTGTTTCACTTGCTTTGCCCTTGATCGCGTCATTGGTCCACCATCGACTATCAACGGGTCTCGTCTCGTACTTACCTTCGTCGGGCTCGACTCCTGGATCATATCATCCCCTCCCTCTTCAAAAGGATTCGTTCTCGAATCTGAACCTACATCAAATAGAGAGAGATCATATACATTAAAAGTAGCTGAAACATTATACTCACCAGGTAAATCCACTTTATATGCATTGTCATTGATCCTCTCGATAATTTGAAACGGTCCATCACCTCGTGGTTGCAATTTTGACTTCCTCTATTCTTAAAAACGCTCTTTTCTGAAATGCACCTAGACCCAATCTCCAGGCTCAAATGTAACGCATCTTCTTCCTTTATTTGCTTTTGATGCAATCAGCTTTCCTTTCTCTTCGATCTACATCCTAACCTTTTCATGGAGTGTTTTCACCATCTCGACTTTTCGTTTCCCATCCAAGCTATCTCGTTCATGCACAGGCAAAGGTATTAAATCCATAGGCGTTAGTGGATTAAAATCATAAACAATTTCAAAAGGAGAAAACGAAGTAGTAGAATGTGTAACTCGATTATATGCAAACTCTATAAACGGTAAATACTCTTCCCATTATTTCAGATTTTTATTGATTACTGTCCTAAGTAGTTGAGTCATAGTTCGATTAATTACCTCAGTTTGTCCATCTGCTTGTGGGTGACAAGTTGTAGAAAATAATAACTTAATTCCTAACTTACTCCACAGAACACGCCAAAAATGACTCAAAAACTTCACGTCCCTATCAGACACTATACTTTTAGGTACTCCATGTAAACGTACTATTTCCCTAAAGAATAAGTCTGCAATATTAGTAGCATCGTCAGTTTTATGACATAGTATGAAGTGCGCCATCTTACTAAACCTATCGACCACTACAAATATTGAATCCCGACCCCTTTTTGTCCTAGGCAAACCTAACACAAAGTTCATAGATATGTCTACCCAAGGTTCACTAGGTACATGCAAAGGAGTATACAAAACATGGGGTTGAACCTTAGACTTATCCTTTTTACAAGTTATGTACTTTCCACATATTTGTTCTACGTCATGTCGCATTTTAGGCCAATAAAAATGTTCCCCTAACATGTCTAAAGTTTTTGAACCCCGAAGTGTCCCATTAAACCACCCCCATGTGCTTTCCTTACCAACAATTCATGCAAAGAATAATTAGGAATGCACAACTTATCTTCCCTAAACAAATATCCTTTATGCCTATAGAATTTATCAAATGCACCTTTGTCACATGAAGCATAAATACTAGAAAAATCACAATCAGATTCATACATGCCCTTAATATGCTCGAAACCAAGTAATTTAGTACTTAATGAATTTAAAAGCACGTACCTTCGAGACAACGCATCAGCAACTATATTTTCATTACCTTGTTTGTGTTTGATGACATAGGGAAATGTCTCGATAAACTCCACCCATCTCGCATGTCTTTTGTTCAACTTACCTTGACCTCGCAAATGCTTTAAAGATTCATGATCGGTGTGTATCACGAATTCCTTTGGTCATAAGTAGTGCTGCCAAGTCTCCAATGCTTGAACACGCGAATACAACTCCTTGTCATATGTTGGATAATTCAATGCTGCTCTACTCAACTTTTAGCTAAAGTAAGCAATATGTCTCCTTTCCTGCATTAACACTGCTCCTATACCTATTCCTGATGTATCACACTTAACCTCGAATGTTTTATCAAAATTTGGTAATACCAAAACAGGTGCTTTACATTGCTTATCCTTAATTGTGTTAAATGCAATTTCTTGAGATTCTCCCCAATGAAAACCTACACTCTTCTTCACTATTTCAGTCAAGGATGTGGTGATGATGCTAAAATCTCTTACAAATCGCCTATAAAAACTAGTCAATCCATGAAAACTCCTAACTTCAGTTATAGTCTTAGGTGTTGGTCATTCCTTTATAGCTTTTATCTTTTCTTCATCGACTTCCACCCCGTTAGCACTAACCACAAATCCTAGGAAAATAACTCTATCCATGCAAAATGTGCATTTTTTGAAATTAGCATATAGTTGTTCCTTTCGCAACACAACAAGCACACATTTTAAATGTTCTAAATGCTCATCTAGGTTTTTGCTATAGATTATGATGTCATCAAAATAAACTATAACAAATTTCCCAATAAAAGCACGTAAAACATGGTTCATTAAACGCATAAAAGTGCTCGGTGCATTAGTGAGTCCAAACGGCATAACTAACCATTCATACAATCCATACTTAGTCTTAGACGCCGTTTTCCATTCATCACCCTCCCGCATACGAATTTGATGATACCCACTCTTAAGATCAATCTTACTAAAAATGCAAGCACCATGCAATTCATCAAGCATATCATCTAGCCTAGGTATTGGGTGACGATACTTTACCGTGATATTATTGATAGCTCGACAATCCACGCACATTCTCCAAGTCCTGTCCTTCTTAGGCACCAGTAAGACAGGTAGAGCACATGGACTCATGCTCTCCATGATATAACATTTGCTCATCAACTCTTCCACTTGCTTTTGAAGCTCCTTCGTCTCCTCGGGATTGCTTCGGTAAGCTGGTCGATTCGGTATGACAGCTTCGGGTATAAAGTCAGTCTGGTGCTCGATGCCTCTGATTGGTGGCAATCCACTTGGCATCTCCTCAGGAAACACATCGTCGAACTCCTGCAATAAAGACTTAACCAAACTAGGGAGGGATGTGCTAGAATTCTCAAAATTGAGGAGGGATTCCTTGTACACTAACAATATTATTTGCCTATTATCGCTTATAGCCTTTTTCAACTTACTCTCTTTTGCATAGAAGTTGATCTTTGGCTTTTCTCTCTGCTCAGCTGACTCTTTTTCTCTCCTCTCAATTGACTCTTTTTCTCTCCGCTCATGTGGCTTCTCTCTCTTTTCTCTACTCTCAACCACCTCACTATTTTCTCTCTTATTGATGGTTTCACTATTGCCTCTCCTTTTTCCCGACTCTCTTATTCTCTCGTCTTCCTCACTTTTCAGCTTGATTTGATCTCCATACACTTGTGCCGGTGTTAATGGCGCAAGAGTAATAGCCTTCCCATCCTTGACAAAGCTATAACGATTCCTATATCCATCATGTGTGACGCTTCTATCATATTGCCATGGTCTTCCTAACAAGATATAACCCACATGCACAGGCACCACATCACATACTACTTTGTCACTATAACTCCCAATTGAGAAATTAATTAAAACTCTTTTATTCACCCTAACTTCCCCACTTTCATTCAACCATTGCAACTTATAAGGCCTAGGGTGTTTTAACAATACTAGTCCTAATTTCTCAACTAAAGTTGTGCTAGCTACATTCGTGCAACTCCCACCATCAATACTCATACTACATACCTTATCGTTGACGTAACAACGTGTGTGGAATATATTTTCTCCCTACTGCTCCAAATCATCCACTTTGACTTAGGTGTTAAGAGCTCTCCTTGACACCAACAATTCCCCAACAGTAAACTCCAATTTTTCTTCTTCTTCAACGTTCTCCAATGTAGGCATGTCCTCAAACTCTCCTTCACTTTCACGTACCACCTCTCCATTATCCAACAAAACCATTACCCTTTATTTGGGCATTGAGAAGCAATGTGCCCTGACCCCAAGCATCTGAAACACTTGATGTCTCGATTCCTTGATGGTTGTGAATCTATTTTGGGTTCTGTTTTGCTAGCACTTTCTTCTTTCCCCTTCCGCCACTCATTCCTACCTTTAGGTACAGCTTTATCACCTTTGTTGTTGTTGTTCCACCCTAGCTTCCAAGATGGATTAACACTCGAAGTTCCTAACGGCTACCTAGCTGCCCCTTTCCTCTTCAATTTTCTCTCTACCTTCATAACCACATGCAACATGTCTTCCAACTCCACATAATGTTGCAACTCCACTATATTGGCAATTTTCCTATTCAACCCATTCAAGAATCGTGCCATAGTATCCTCCCGATCCTCCACCACATTGGCCCTAATAATGAGTATTTCCATCTCCTTATGATAGTCCTCTACACTTTTCGACCCTTGATATAGACCTTGCAGTTTTTGATGGATCTCTCAATAATAGTGGCTAGGAACAAACCTCTTTCTCATCAATGACTTCAATTTCTCCCAAGTGCTATCTTCCCCCACTCCTACGTTGTGAAGTAATCACTTGATCCCACCATGAAATTGCATAGTCACTAAACTCCAAAACTGCTAACTTCACCTTTTTCTCCTCCGAGTAGTTATAACACTCGAAGATCATTTCAACCTTCCTTTCCCAATCCAGGTATGCTTCGGGATCACTCCTTCCTTTGAATGAACGAACTGTCATTTTTATATTTCCCAAATTTCCATCCAACTCCTCCCCGTGATCATTCCGATCCCGTCTGTCAAACCTATCGCCTCTATTCCTCATCCTTCCCATCTCAACACCGTGAAAGTCATCTTCGCCCATGTCACTCCCATATCCATACTCCTCTCGCCTTTCCCTCCTAGGCTCCCATCTATCCGGTCCTTTGGCATTGGATACATCCACTCGATGCCCCCGACTAAGATTAGCCACCGATATATCTAATCTATTCATCCAAGCCTCCTGCTTCTCCAACCTATCTTTCACATCTCCAAACGCCCTCTCAAACCTTTGCACTAAATCCTCCGATGCATTGCTTTTATTACCTTGTCAGCTTGAGTTTGATTCTGCCATTTCTAATATCTTAACACTAAAATTTTATTTTACTGTCTCACCAAAAGTCACTCGGAACACACACAAGGGCTTTTACCCTCTATTAAGCTCACCTCTCTACCTTTTACAACTCAGTTATTTCAACAATTGCCTCTAGGAACAATCAATGAACTCAATCAATCAATCAATTCGTGTAGAATTTCCCAAACCGGATGTGACTCAATAATTGTAACAAAAGACTCAAAGAAAACTTTTAAAGCTTGACTCGAATTGAAGGAATGAAATGATTTAATGTGTCCAAGTAATTTAGAAACGATAATAAATAATAAAAGTTGGTATTTGACGGATCAATAATATTTAACAAGTTTTTTTTTATTGTACGGATGAACAGTACCGTACAGATGAAGAGTAAATTTTTTTTTTGATCCGAAAATCAATAACAAAACCAACAAAGAAAACAAAAACTGATTTGGGCAAAAATTGAGCTCAAAAATGAAATTTGAAAATTTTTGATGAAACTTTTGGATCAAGGATCAAGAAAACTTTCTTGACACAAGAACACAAGAAATTGAAAAAATTTAGAAAACAAAGGATATAACCTGATTAAATTGGAGTCAAAGCTCTGATACCAACTGATGCGAACCCCGTAGCAATGGAAACTACGAAACCCACAACGAGATTGATGCGGAACTCAAGAACACCAATGCTAACCCGATTTTGGATCTTGAACCCCAAGAACTGAACCAAGAAACCCTAGATTAGCGAAGAACCTAAAACCCCTTGATTACAATTAAAAGAACCCACAATCCGATTGATAGAACGCCACAAGAAGTTGAATCTTGATAAGTTCCAAGATTGTTCAAGAAGAACAATAAATTGAAAGAAGAAATTTCTCTCTCTATAATATTAATTCCAAAGTCAAAAGTTCAAAGGTATTACAATGAAAAGTAATCTCTTATTTATACTAATGAATAAAAAAGTCCAAAACAATCAAATTATGGTAATAATTTGATTTCATAAGAATTCTATCGAAACTAAGAAATTCGGTCAAAAATAGAAAATTCGCCAATTTTTTTGGCTTGTGCGGCCGCATGGTGTAAAGCCATGCGGTCGCATGGTTCAACAGAAATTGCACTTTTGGTTTTCGGTATGCATATGTGCGGCCGTATGTGGTTTTGCCTATGCAGCCGCATGGTGTTGTCTTCAGCCTCCACTTTCGTCGCTTGATAACAAATTGATCCAAGTTGATTCGATTTCGACCCGAACATGAAATTTGCTCCATTTTGAGTCCCGAACATGACTCCATCAATGGTTTCTTGAACGAGCAATCCCATCGCTTGTTTCACTTACTTTGCCCTTGATCGCGTCATTGGTCCGCCATCGACTATCAACGGGTCTCGTTTCGCACTTGTCTTCGTCGGGCTCGACTCCTGGATCATATCACTGCCAAAGGTACCGCATACAGTACCAGCAACACCACCACACATACCATCATAAGCAGATGACACCAATCCGTCACAGACTCGCCACTACCACCAAATCCACCCTAAATCCACTGCACCACCATCAACATCGTCCACCACCGGTCCACCACCAACACCATCAACATCTGCGACTTTTACCGTTCAATGTTCGGCAGCACAACTGGTCACGATTCTCACAACAAATCGCCGTTCAACATTCTGCAAAATCGGTTACCATCTTCGGTCTGAAAAGCAATGACGTAGCACATCTTCTCGGTGGCGATTCTTTACCTAGTGACGCTGCTGAAATTATTGGAGTTTGGAGGATTGGGTGGAGATATTTGGCCGTCGAGCTCCTGGCCGGCGACGATGGCGGGCGACGACAACGAGAAATGATTGTCGAAATGATACAGACGAGAGAGAGAGAGGCGAGAGTGTGTTTGAGCGAGAGAGGAATATGAAATGAAATGAATTAGGGTTTTAATATATAGGGACCTGATTTGTGCACAATGAAATTTCATCCCAGACTTTTGAACTGTGATCTTTAAGTACCTGAATTTATGTAATTTCCACTTTAAATATCATAAATTTCTAATTTCATTTCTTGCAGTCATGATGTGGGCTGACCTGACCGGCTCTACTGGCTCAGCTATCGAGGCTAACATTGCATGAGCCAGCTCAATACCGCTTATATTTAGCCTCTGTTAGTAGAAATTAAAATTAAGATTATAATTTGAATCAAAGTCAACAATTAATTTTAATCATATATTTTATCTATTTTTCTCAAAATACATTAAAAATCTAATTTTGACTCCCATTGAATAGGGACTTCGTAAAAAACAAAAACCCTACAAAGAAATTGTAAGCTTGATAGACTAGTGATGTGTCGGGCTAAAATAATTTTGCACAAAGCGTTACGTGCATATAAAAAAAGGGTCTTGCAACGTAGACCATTTTAAATTGGTTCTTGTCCACCTAATGTGACCCGATTTATACCTCTAGACATGATATATTAGTAATATGCATTTAAATATTGTTGTCAAATCTCAATTGAGATAACAACATACATTTAATGGCTGCCGCAATAAATCCATTTTAGTAACACGTCATTAATGAATACTGTTATTCAAATGTTGTAAAATGCTATTTTTCTTTTTGTGTTATCGTCATTCTGGTCTATAATTTATCAATAATTGGTATTTATATGATTTAACACAATCGACATAAATGAAAATTTTATGTCGATAGTTCAAAGCACTACACCGACAAGCCTAGAATTTCCAATGTAGAATGTCCACCAATGTTTTTACAACTGTTCATAATGGGAAATTTGGCAATCTTTGAGCCAACATAAAGGAACAAATAGATTCATGAAACCTATGTGTCTATACGTGTATTCTTTAATTTCTTCAAATTCTGCATGAATGTGTTCTCCACATTACATGGTTTAGTCACACCCAACTCTTTCTACTAAGTGGCTAAGTCTTTAAACTTTTTGAATTTATTTTCTGTTAGTCCTCACCTTTCATTTTTTTATAGCAATGGTGATCCTTTTAATTTGGATGCTTTTCTAACAAAATGGATATTAATTTTAGGGAAAATAAAATTTTGCGATAGCAATGAAATAAACAAAAATACTAATTACAAACCGTAAGATAAATAAGACAGGAAAAAACCCACTAACAAAGCCCTTGTTTCGTTTGGCAAAAAAAATCAAATTTTAAATAAATTTTGATAAAAGGTAATGAAATATATGGCTAAAAAGATGATAAAAGTTGCGGTTCCTAAAATATATAGTTGGAAATGAGTTTTTAACAATTGGGTCCAAAAAAGGGCAAAATATATAAAATTTAAAATATATATATATATATATATATATATATATATATATATATAGGACATTTGTGGTCCCAGTGTCTCCGATCTTCCTGGGATGTCATGTGCAAGGATTCATCTTGATCTATGGTTGAATTCGACGCCGATCCCTTGTCAAGATTAAAAACAATTGAAATAGTGCATGAACTAGTCACCGTACTTTGGTGTTTCAACCAGCCATTGATGATTCATGAAATAAAAATGGCTAACTAGCTAGAACATGCATAATCAAATGCCATCACAATTTGTCCAACCAGGATCAAACCATTGTTGAACTATGGCTGTGGTTGTACATTGTTTATAATGCAAATAGTTCAAAATTTTTCTGAGTAATATCACACACCAATTAAAGATATGAAATAAATGAATGTCTTACAAGGAATTGAATTACTTTTCTTTAAAAAAAATCACCTTTTAATATGGAACTTAAATTTCAATAAAGAAAGCGATTTTACTACGCATTGAAGTTGGGATCTGACAGTGAAAAGGCCAAAAAGAGAAAAATAAATAAATAAAAGTTTGGAGATTCATTTACAAAAGTTGTTAAACGTTGAGGACTGCAACCGTAATTTTCTAAAATTAGAAATGATTGTGACTTAATAAAATAATCACAAATTCGCACCTCCTCTACATATGTTGAATAATGCTAAGTGAATATTGTTTGGTTGACCTCATTGTTTACGTTCCATTGTAGTTCGAAAATTTGTGGGAGGAAAAGTTTTTTTTTTTTTTTTTTTTTTTTTAAACTGTCTAATATTGTGCTGCCATAAGACATAACGTAAAAAATGATATAAATAATAATATAGATGTAGCATGATTGTTATATCACTTCACTCCTCATGGCGAAAAGATGACAATTTTTTTAGGGTTTAATATTTGGGGGTCAAGCGGTGTTATTCCTCAAATGGCCCCGCTGGTTTGACAAACCGGCTACAAGAAACGATAGCCCAAAAGTTTCTCTATTTCCATAAAAGTCAAACCCTAGTTAGCTTAGGTCTAACACATTTCGACCATTTTTGTTTAATTTATGACAGTAAACAACAAAATACCATGTAAGGGAATCTAAGCATGAAATAAAAGGATCAACACCTTTAGTCCTTTTAGAACCACACAAATTGAAAGTAAGATAAGAAAGTATAATTATATATTCTCACTTTTGATCTATCTTTTCATGTTTTTAAGCCTATTTTAATTATGAGTTTATCCTCTCCTAGCCTACATTTCTAGACAATAATGAAATTTTGGACCTAAATACTTAATGTTATCACTAGATAAAATCTTCTAACCTTTGTAATTAAAGTGAGGGACAAACTCATTTTATTGCTAGTGTCAAGTGAAATTTGGTGGCACCAACCAAGATTGCCATTTGGATAGTCCTGCTTTTTTGCTTCCCAAATGCCACTATCAATATAAAACTTATATATTATAATGAATTTTGGGAAAGCCCACAAATAATTATTTCTATATTTGTATTAATTTCTTTCCTATTTAGGAAGTTTTTGTTTGCAAAGATTTCTGTGTAATGTAGGCAATTTAGCCATCCATGCTAGAAGAAGTTGTTCAAAATTTATTGGTTTTCCCCTTGACAGGCATGATTACAATTTAAGCATAACCTTTATAGGATTTTCAAGTGGCAATTATCTTGTCAAAAGCAACCAAGCAAGTTGAAGCAACAACGTTGTTAGTCGTAAGCTTAAAAATCAGTCATATATACATGTCGAATTTATAATTCAAGATTTCAATAAGGTTTTCTTTACATGGATAATCATCAAGTACTCTACCACGTAGCTTAGATTTTTTGTGCTTTCACATAGCTAAGACTTTTCAATGAAAAAAGAAAAATGGAAGCTAGAATAATTCAACCTCCATGGATTTGACAGTAATAATTGGCAGAAAAGAGTCGAAGGCTGATATGAAATAAACAGTGTCCCTAATATTTGCAGCAGTTGACCGACAAGTATGCATGAACAGTAAGTGGATAAAGAGCAGTGCAGAATCCCCATAATTAGCAGCCAGCCGGCAAGAAAAAGATGGCACAAAATATGAAGATGAAACACCCATTCCCCATAAGGATAAAATTACTGTACATGAAAACGGAAGAAAAGATGTCAAGAAATAGTGTGATTATGAAACGCCAAGTTTGTAGAGCCTAGTCATATTGTTTATGTAGAGTCTAGTCATATTATACAGAAACTACGTGACTTAGTCATTGATATTAATAGTTCATGGACAAACAGTAGTTCATGTTCGTTGAAACTCGTATAGAATGAAAGTAATAGTAGCTTGGATAATTCTGTTAAAATTATGGGATTCTTGGCAACTTGGGACGAGGACCAAATAAAATAGGGACAGAGAACTAACGAATCATTACAAGAGCCATATACTCAAGATCAGGGGCGGAGCCACTATACGTCCAGTGCGAGCAGATGCCCGCACTCGACTTTTGGGCCAAAATTTTTTTTTTTTTTTTAAAGTTTGTTTGTTTGTTTAATCAAGTAACTCAATTCTCGATCCAGCATAGAGAGAGAAGCCCAATTGTACAAGATCATGACTCGTTTTAGACCTATTCATATCAAAATTCAATTGAATCAATTGTTGACCCAAACCCATTCATTCATTTCAAAATTTCTACCTTCATGACTTTGTCTGTGACGATTTCACACTTCGCCACCCACTTCCCTCTCCACCGGTGACAAAGCCCACCGTTCCCTTCCCTCTCCGTCAACCGTCGTCTTGGATAGTCGTCACAGCACAACTGTCGTTCCCTTTCCCTCTTCGACAGTCCATTATTGTATATCTCCTACTCTAAGCTTTCATCTTGACATCTCACATCTCTGACTCCGACTTTACATCCTCAGCTCCGCCAAGACGCCAAGTGCCAATGCCAACCAACCGCGCCGACAAAAGAAGAAGCCAGATTCCAGAAAGCAAAAGGCGAAGCCCCAAATTTTTTTCCCTTATTTTTTTTTTTTTGGTTATTTCAATTTGTGTAAATTGTAATAAATTTTTTTTTAACATATTAAATTAGCACTTTGTTCTTTAATTGCTCGAAGCGGCACAAACTTCCAGTGGACCACCAGTTCATTGTTGTCTCTGGGCTCTGGCTCTCTGGGAATCTGTGATTGCAAGTTCAAGTTGCCAAGTATTTG